TATGAGGGAATTTCTAAAAAAGGAATAGCATACATGGTTGTCTATTTGAGAAAATTATTCAAGATAGCGCTCAGCCGCTGTTACAATACAAAAATGTCGCTTGAACAGTGTTAATTACAAGTTCTCAATGAGTTCTGCCGATTACGTACAAAATCTGGTATCTATATGAGAGTTGACTCAAAGTTGAGTCGAGTCAAACAATAATATGGTCACAAATCACCGACCTTATTCACGAAATAGACTCGTTTAATATGTTCATTAGTGGAAAATGGCTGATTCGAATTCAGATTTCCCAAGTGATATCGAAGAAGCAGCACATTATGTACTATTCTCTTCATTCATCCATATTTTTATTATTTATTTGGTGTTGAAATGAACGGACTTTGGACGAGCACTGTATTTTTCATTACAGTAAGCTTTAAGCTTGATGGTTAACTTTGACTCTCAATATGAAATTTGAAAGAATAAGACACAACTCGTGTTGTAACTAACTCAACTGCATGCGTAATATGTGTGTCACTATTTTTATGTAATATAGGTAGCTACCATTTGCTTCGATGCTTGCTGCATTCTCGTTAATGAACAAACCGAGATATGATGTGGAATAGAATTGGTATTTACACTAAATTTGTATGCTGAACGTGTATATTCATGATAACTATTATGTCAGCAGTATATTCCAAGTAATATCTACATCAAAACGAATAATTTGCATGAATTTCCACTATATTTGATTCAGAATGATGAAATGCGAATAATTTATTCAAACGTAATTTTGGGATAATTATTAGTACTGTTCTTCACGGTTATTGTCATTTAGCATTAATTGCCCACAAAGATGAGAGCTTAATTTTCAAACAGAGTTCTTGGAAATGTGCAAATACCTAAAACATTCTCTTCGATTTCACTTTCGTCTACATTTCGCATCCATTTTCAATGAAGAATTCTGATACAAACAGAAACTGTTTGAATAATTCTGATTGCAACAAAATCCCAAAATGACAGTTGACGGTTCCTACAAATGACAGGCCGCACAGGACAGGACTCAAACGACTGAAGGTGTGTTAAAAAAATCCATTGCCATGGTGATTTGTTTGAGAAATTGTGTTGTCATGGTAACTTGTTTAATTTTTTGAATAAATCGATTATTCAGCGTACATATTCGTACGCTCAATGCCATTTTAGTTATGTGATTAGAAGAACATTTATATGTTCAAAGATAGATTGTCGAAAATAAATGTCGACCTCTGGCTGTAATATATTTTTTATATCACTGTATAGTAGCTGCGCCTCGTTGAAAAAATCAGTTCTCGATCACCAAAGTATTGCGCACTAGATACATATACCGGTTGTCCCAACAGTGCGTATTTGCTCGATATCTCGATTATGCTGTTATACATATGAAACAAAGTTTCATATAACAGTTTTATGACACAAATAAAACAATCCGTTTATTTTTCTGTCATTAAAATGGTCCCTTCGTTGCCTACTCGGCACTGAATTTTTTATTCGCCACAATGGGCCGTTACCAAGTTATTAATTTTTTCGAAAAAATAGGGAGTGATGCAGGCTCTGAATGAAATAACTGTGATTGAGCTGTTTCTTCCATGATCTGAATTATGTCTGGTGGATTGACGTAAAGAATACTGAAGTAGCGTATGATACTCTGATTTCTTTCGATATTCATACAGGGTGCTTCAACTATTTCTTTCATTTTCGTCCACTTCGATTCGAGTTTATGCGATTTTTTCAAATGGGACACCCTGTATATCAGTTCGTCTTCTCTTTCTACATAAAATAACCTATCTGAGGATACCAACATGTTATATGTTATTCCTAACAGTTTCTTGATTATTTGTGTTTTTCAAATTATTCTTAGAAAATTGCAAGAAATGCCTGCCTAATATTTGAATTTCAAAACGAAAGGAAACACAATAATCATTGACAGAGGTCTTCCACCCTGGTAAATACATTTTCTGATCTGGACTATGAGAAAAAAAGATAAAAACTGAAGTTGGCTATGATTCCAAATATCGCCAAAAAGTAAACGAAATAATGAGTCGTGATATTTGTTGACAGTCTGTTGTGTGGAAGCTGTGGTAATCCATTATGAATTACATAAAGGAAGAGTTGATTGGAATGGTTTATGCTTTGGGTGCTGGTGAAAAAAATTGTTTGTTAGCTTCCCGTATGTATGCTCCAAAATATCCTGATAGAAGGCATCCACAAGTGAAAAGTTTTGAAACATCAAAGGAAAGATTTGAGAGAACAGGACTCATCGAATACAATAAAAAGAATCTCTTCAAAACAATATTGACTGATGAAAACCAATCAGCTATTAGTCTTGCAGTGGTAGAGTTGAGTGTAAGGGAAATAAGCAGAGATTCAGAGATATCGGCTTCGCTAAACGCTCCGCCTCGCAAATGCAAAACTCTCTTGTCAAACAAAGTGTCACTTTTGATCCTAATAAAACAATCTACTATTATCAAAACAAATGAGAAATATTCCAATCTTGGATGATCAGAGTAAAATGTGTGTTTGATCAGTTGGAGTTATGGCAAGTAGGTAACTTAAGCAGTAGAGCAAAAATAGAATTTCTCATTTTCTGACACAAGGGTAGGTACTGCCTATCTTGATACGTCAAGAGAATCTCGCATGATTCGCCTATGACCTATTTACCTATATACATGAACAGGAAATCAGATAATCAATGAAACAAATTTCCTGAATGCTGTCGTAAACACTTTACATCTCTACAGCATTCAATTATATTTACACCCTCAGGGTGTGCCAATCATCCGGAGAGGCCACTGGATATCCATTACTTGCAATCATTTATCATATAATCGGTTTTGCACGCACACACTAAACCTTTAGAAATGTTATCAGGTTGTTCGTTCATTCTGATTATTCGAATATCACTCCAGCGATCATTATATTCAGAAATTACCTTTTGTAGTCCCGGAATCGTTGCTAAGTTGCTTCGTTATTTCAAGAAACGCCCTGCACCGTTAGGTACCATCGATAGTATTATGCCAGAACAGAAGGCGTCATGATCATAGTCTGACTTCAGCAGCAAGGGTAGGTGATCTCCTTGGATCTTATTCGATTGTTCACGAAAAGCGAATAGCGGTCTTTTAATCCCGATCTTTTTTTGTTTGTTTATCTACTCACTGCATTGAAAGTAAGCGTTTGCTCCCTCATTTAAGGACACAAACCTGTCAATTTACTCCCACTAGCGAAGACAAAATATTACCTTCCGTGGAAGGTGAAAGAAATTGGCATCAGTGTCTCAAATATCAAATGACAAATTTTCTTTATGAACTCAACGATCTCATACACTTCCTCATAATCTCCAAACTTACTCATTGAAATACACAATAAACAAATTCAATATGTCAGATTGATTTTCGTACAGATTCAAATACTGTCAATAGGCCTTTTCATTAAATATTTTTTCGAGACGCATGCGCTCATTTTTAGATGCAAAATTTCATTTGATAATCGTTATTTATTCGTTACTGAGGAGTGAGGTGCAAGTGTTTCGGTGAAAATGGCCGCCATTATCGTTGGATGCGAGATGTAATCAGAGATAGTCATTTGTCATCTAAATGAAAAGGCCTATTGTCCATGGCATTCTATACTTTTAAAACACATTGGTTTCGATCGAGAGTCGAGACTCGAGAGATAAATCGCCTGAAGCACAATTTGAAGAACGACACTCTGAAATATATGCGTTCGTGGATAAAATCATATACGTGTATATATATATCTTGCGAGCAAAGGTTCATTTCCTCCCATGTGTGTTTAATGCCCTTCGCTATGCTTCGGGCATGAAATTCCACACGCGGGAGGAAATGGATACCTTTGCTACCTTGATATACAAATAGCTATTCCGCATCAACATAGATTCGTTTCTCGAATATTCCGAAAACGGAACACAGTATCCAGTTTCACCAAGAGTACCTTTTTGGTGTAAAATCGAATGATGTTCAAGTTTACATCAAATTTGGATCGAAAAATCTAACCTCAAAAAAGTTATGTTCTAAACTACTCGGTACGAACCGTGTAACTAGCGCCCTCTATGAGAATCAGATATAAAAACGAATGCATGCGATGTCTTGAAAAATGTGTAAAAAAAAATTTTTTTCAACACCTTGTATCTCGATAACGGATGCCGTTACGAAATTTGTTTACAAAGTAAACTCAACTTATTTTGAAGTGTTCTACCTATCCTTGTAAGAGGGTCTGGTTCCTTTGAAACACCCTGTATATATTTTTTGTTTTACCCCTGACATGTCTTTCATCAACTATACAGAGAAGTGCACAAAAAACGGCCAGGACTGAATCTTTTGAATTATTCGAGATAGGGTTTTGAAAATTGGTGGGCAGCTAGTATACCAAATTGCTTATCAATTGACGAAACAATTTTTGTTCTATCACTTCCGGTTTCACTGGAAACGACCCCAACTTTTGATTTTTTGATGGGACACCCTGTATTGTATTCCATAATCGGTTAGGGATTGTCAGAACGAATTCATCGATCTTGGGTTTGATAGGGTTATTTCAAACGATTGCGCAGATATTCGAGTTCCAAGTTCACATATACTCAATGAGTGTGACAGAGAAGAAGTTTTGATATTGCGAAGTCACACCCATTGAGCATATGGAAACTTCCAACGCAAATATCTTTGTAATCGTTTAAAATAACCCTATCAAACCCGGTATCGTTGAATTCGTCATGATAATCGCTAACCAATTATGCAATACAATACAGGGTGTCCCATTTGAAAATCAAAAGTTGGGGTCGTTTCCGAAGAAAATTTGTTTCGTCAATTAATGACTAATTTGGTATACTTGCTACCCACCAAATTTGAAAATCCGATCTCGAATGATTCAGAAGTTACAGCCCTGGCCGTTTTTTGTGCACTTCCCTGTATGTATGATCAAGAGAGATGAATAAATTCATTATTATTATTATCCATCACGATTTCCATTAGTTCCAGACCACGTGAGACCGCGGGTGTGCTCCCTTCCGGAGAAACCCTACAACCCCCGGCTGAGCGACGACCTCTACCGGCTGCGCACGTTCAGCATCACCAACAAGGGCGGCGTCGTCAACTGCGGAGATTCCATCATCAACAGGAGGTCCCGCTCCAACACGAGCGTCAACTCGACGGCCAGCAGGTGAGCGACCTTCGACCTCGGAATGACGGTTTCGAATTGATTCCTTTCAGCAAATTTTTAATAGAATTTTCCATAGGGAGGAAGGAAAGCTCAAAGTCATCTCCATCACACTTTTAATATTTATCATTGAAAGTGTGGAGATTACTTCGATCTTTCGTTCCTCCCTATGAAATCATTGAACTCAATGTAAACAACTGAAAGGGAGACTGCCGTTTTCTCAAATAGCACAGAGTGTGTCAGGGGCACTTGCAACAAAGATAGCTTGTGTTACGGTTACCAGTCTCTCTCACACTCATGTTGTTCAATGGCGGATTGGTGAATGAATTTCCTATTATTCAATGATTGCAGTACTTGAGATTTTTTTTCTTATCTAAACAGGCGAAAAAAGTGAAGATGGAACCCCATTGTTTTTTGTTATGTGAAATATAGTTAAATTTGGCGTGTTTTTTTTTACTTCAGAAGGTTGGTGATTTCCAATCAATGAACATTGGTTATTTATATTGCGTTGCCTTATTTGAATGCAAAACAAGAAAACAAGAAACAGAAATTGTCCTCCATGGGTGAGTTGAAAATTCTTCAGATTATTAGAAAAACTATAGTAATTTATTTACAGGATGTGTCTATGGATGTGTGTGTGTGGATCTTCATAACTTGGATTCTAAGAACGATGTTTTCCATATGGACATCGATTTATCTACAACTTCCAGCTCCCAAGTTCCCGAAGTTTTTTGATAATGAAACCCAAACTGTTTCATTCAAAAAAAGGCCTATTATATTGCGAAAAAAAGTGAAAACACTGAAACAAGAAATGAAAAGGAGAACTGGTACTGGTACTGGTGGGGGACGTTTCCACGTCAGCAATTAGTCCCTAATGGGACCTTTTTGCAAACCCCAAGTGTTTTCAATGGCTGATGTGGTTCGCTCAAGAGAGCTGGCTAACATCCTTTTCAGGCACCGCCCATCAGTTTTTCGGCTGTGTTTTGTAGGCTAGTAATGTACTCACTATCATATGCGAAGTGGCAGGCCTGCTAACTATTCTCGTTAACCCCCGAGACCGAGGTCTACTAAGCAGCTGGCCCGCTCTCACGCTCAGCTGGTAGTTTTTTCACACCTACCTACATACACCATCCTACTTCTTCTCTGATGCTCACAACCACATCATCATATCTTTCTGCGTGTTCTGTGTAGGCTTTGTTACTAACTCCATGCGCCACTTTAGGAGCAGCACTGTTAACTGGAAAGCAACAGCGAATCGTGCAGGACCATCCCCAGCCGATGCTCCGAAACTTTACAATATTTGATTCGTAAATAAAATATTGAAAAAAGTTACTTGCTCGTGCTGGGAATCGAACCCACGACCTTGCGGTCGTGAGGCGGACGCTCTTCCACTGCGCCAATCCCAGGGGCGGATCCAGGGGGGGGGGCCATGGGGCCATGCCCCCCCCCCTCGAGCACCTCGTGGACATGTAAAAATGTAGGTATTTTGAATAAATGAAAAAATTAGTGTATGTCTTATAGCTAGAAACTTCGCAACAGCTTTAAGGAATTGCGAATTTAAAATAAGTTGTACACTCTGCTGTTTGGCAAATATATTTTCGATAACACTGCCACTAAGTTATTTGCTCCAAACAAAAAACAAGCTAACGATGTTGTTAGTATCACTCTCCAGATGCTTCCAGATAAAAGGGATAATATTCTAAATATCTACTATCTGAGTATTTCGAATGTAGCCAAACAGAAATTGAAAGAACTGAATGTTGAATTTTCGATGCCGAGAATAACAGGGAGAATGGTTCATAGACCAAATACGGTTTCCTCAGTGGATGACCATTACAGAATAACTGTTTTCATTCCAGTATTATTATTGATCTGAAAGAAGGAATATCAGAAAATGAATTGAATCTATACAACCTTCACCTTTGTGTGCCATCTCAATAACTAAAAACAAACAAATTTATGAGGTATGGGAAATATACTTGAACAGTTTTGGGGAGAATAATGAAATGTGCTTCCAAAAGATTGTTTCTGAAATGTATATATGGAAGAAAATGAGGGATACTAAGCAAAATATACCAAACAATGGTATAACTGCCCTGAAGGAATGTAACAAACATTTGTTTCCTAACATAAACATCCTTCTGGAATTATTTTGTTGCCTACCTGTAAGTGTTGCATCTTCTGAAAGAAGTTTTTCAACACTCAGAAGGCTGAAAAATTGGATAAGATCCAGAATGGTCCAAGACTGGTAACATGGATTGGCATTAATGCATATTCACAGGGGCATCTGCAGCAGTCTGAATGTTGATGATATCATCCAAAGATAAGCTAGGCAGAAGAATAGAAGACTGGAATTTATTTTCTTTATTTTATATATTTTTATTTTTGTCTGTTTCATTTGTTTTATTTTTGAAGAGAAATATTTTCATTCACTTTTGTACCCAAGTTTTTCAACAGAAATATTGTTTCATTCACTTCTTCTACCCAATATGATTTATTACAGAATTCTACATACATTGATGGAACATTTTTTTACACCAGTAATTTCGATGTTTACTATGATCAGTTTTTTTAATGAAAAAGCATTTGTCTCATATAATTTCTCTTCCGCGCTGAGCTTATTGAGCCGTGACTTTCTATGCCCCCCCCCCCCCCCCATCAAACATCGTCTGGATCCGCCCCTGGCCAATCCCGGCCAGTGAAAAGGAGAATGTGTGAAGGTAAACACCACAAGTACAAATTTATAAACTCAAGAGCTACATCATATCGTCTTTTGAGGTTTGCCTTTGGAGCTTCTCCAGAAAGGAAAAAATGAAGTTGTACATTCTGGGCGACGCAGATATTCATCTTCAATGAAACAATTCGTTCAAACATTGTACTTTCATTCACCTTCCATGCACCTTCCATTCACCTTCTGGAAGTGAAATGTTTATGAAAAAATAGGTACTCTTGAAAATAAGGCTTAAAATAGACCTTAGGTAGGTAATCAATACATTTCAAGAACCTCTTTCAAATGTTTTCTATCGTTTTTCTTTTTCGTCTGATAGTGCTCAGACCTGTACAATATATGGTGTAATTTGAATGAGAATATATAATTTCGATTTTGTATTCATCTGACTTCCTTATCCTGCGTGATATTAAAAATGAAATTCCACTTTTGATTCAATAGAAAAATTGATAATTAATTTCGAATAATAAATGATTGCATCATTATCCTTTCTCCTGAATGAATATTTATATTTAATCACGTTTCCTGTTAAATAAAAGCAAAAAACGAGAAAATATTTCAAATATTGGGAGGATATCCCTTTAGCCAACATAAGATAGAAAGAGATAGGTATCATTAACCACTGCATATTCACATTGTGTTCATTGTATGAAATATGTATTCTATATGAAAATAAAAGTGAAATGATAACGTAAAAAGGGAATCGCAATCTGAACGCGAGTATATCTGGGAGAAAGTAGAGGCGCGTTAATGCATTTATAAATTATTCTACCATCCAGAGCTTGGCCGCGCTGTACATTAGTATATGGTTAGAAATGTGAAAAATTGCGTTTTTCGTATTGCGAAATGTACCGTTGAACAGAGTAGGTTGGTTCTGCACATGTAGTATAGTTAGTAAATACGCATCCGGGAACGGAAACAAGAATATGCCCGAGAACTAGAACTAAAAAGTTGGTCAGGTTTTAACTTTTCCGTTCCCGTTGCATTCCCGGAGCCAAAGCCAGCACATTGGATGCTACAGCTACATATGAAAAATTAGTGTTATTCGGAAGTTTGTTATCAACACGTATACCAAATGAGTGAGGAAAGTCAAGCTGACGGTGTTTCGAATAATAAATATGTCAGCATTTCGTATTATACTTTTTACGCCAGTGGGAGTAGAAGTTAGTTTCTCTGGTAACAAAAAAAGAACAGAAGTCTCGTATTATTCCCTAGGGAGATAATGTGACATATTTTCTCCCTAGGGAGTTTATACCAACTTCACATTTTCCGCATAGCTTTGCGCTTCCTTTTCGGAACACCCTTTTCTGAAGCGAGTATAAGCTACATCATATCGATTTCTAGATCTCACTGGTAGCAAAGTGAGAATCACTGCAGAAGCATTATATCAATAGTTTCTTGGGGTTTTCCCTCGATTTCTTGTTCATAACCGTTAACCATTTTCAAAGCTGTTTTCATAAATTTCAGTTTGATATTTGCTGCCACCATGGGTTGTCTACAAGATGCATGTCGTCAAGATACGATTTCCACAAACTATACTACTACTAATCATGACAAAACACTCTGACCATATTTTCATTCTTCCTAAATTTTTGTGTTTTCGCCAGCGTAAAAAATAGTATATACACCTCAGGACACAATGGATTTTCCCTCGGGGCTTTGTATCGCATCTTGAAAAAAATCTTGCATTTCTGTCCCTTGATGTATAATGTACTATCTACTGCCATATAGTACATCGAAAAAGTTCGGACAAACAGTCTGAATTATAATTGTTGACAGTTATGTCATCCGCTGTTGACGGCGATTACGCGATAATGACATACCTATTTATACTGTCGGAATATACGGAAACTGTGCGATGTGCTCACTGTGTGTAAAGAGCTACTTACTGAGGCTGTATGTCGTGTGTTTTCGCCTTCTTCAAATAGTGGCCGTAGGTAAAGTCTGTCTTTAATATATGACATTTATTGATTATATTTCGAAGAACTTCTTTATTCAAGATAACCTCCCATATTTCTCATATGGTACACCAAGGTATCTCCATTGATACAAGTTTATTTTGAGAAAAACTTCATGGTAACTGCTAATGGAAATATTTCAACTACGAAATGTCATTTGATGAACGTGAAAAGTTAATGTTTTTTCTGTGTCGAAAAAAAAAGTATGGCATTTCATCTCTGTTGACAGGTTATAAAATGTCACACTTCATGAATTACTCTTTCCCGGATATACAGGGTGGCATTGAAATAAGTGCAAATATTTCAAATACTTAGAAAGCT